GCGACCTTCTAGCTGCGAGGCATCAGTGCTAACCACCGCTCTACCTTGTAGCCCACTTTCCTTTATATTCAGTCTATTTAAATGGACAAACTCGTTTCTTTTCCTGGGAGCAGATCTGTGAAGTGTTCTCAAAGAATGATTCTCAGTAATATGTAAAACTACATGTGAGTGAAAACAACAAAGGACAGAAATGTTTATAAATCTGATTAACTTTAAAAGTTTCAGCCAGATTTTAAAAATTGCATTTCAGTCTTACATTTGTTGGTTTTCAGAAGTTAACTGTGGTTTTAAACAGTCAATCACCAAATAAAATCTGTTTGAATAAGAGGTTGGAACTGACCTTTTAAATGAAATCAACTGCAACTCAGACCTGGACTCATGCTGACCCAAATAATGTAAGATGTGTGGTTTAACACACAAGCTATCCAGTCATTCACTTTGCTTTACTTCACTTGCCCTGGACTTAAATGATTATTTTACTTTAATTTTTTTCATGCCAACCCTGTCTGGCAGCCTATTTGTGCAGAAATAAAACATCTTTTCCACAGCCCGTGGTTGAAGCTGGGCTCTCTGTTCTTGTCTATCAAATCTAGTTGAAGTAAAGTTTCTTTCCCTTGCTGCTCTCAATGCTGGGATGGCAAGCACATTTCAATAGTCAATGCAAGGTTAGGAAACACTTTAACAAGGTTGTGTCATAGGCTTTTACAAAACAAAACCAACAGCAAAAAAACCCAAAACATCCTGTTGGCTCACTTGGCCTGTAATATGTCTCAGCTTAGATGCTAAAGATACTGCAATGCACAGTCACTGTCATTTTTAATGTCTGATTTGAAATGGTTTTGATCTTCATTGCGGCCCGCTTGCATTTATTTCATGCTTACCTGTATATGTGAGTTTATATGAATGTATATTTTTTGGACTGGTCTGAATACATGAACTTTTCAGTCAGTATTTCACCGGTTTGTGTTGTTTTATAGATCAGAAATGAATGAAAGCTGGTGAAGATCTGCAGCCCTGACAGACTCTCTGCTTCAATCCAGTCTGGTCTGTGGACTTATTAAGTTTCAAAAGAAAACAGTTTAGTTGTTTTGCTGTGGAGTTGTTTTATTTTGCAAACTAAAAAATAATTTTAATTTTACTCTGTTGTCTGCCAGTCAATCTGTCTGTAAAGCAGCTTTAGTTTAAATAAATCAGAATGAATTTAAGTCATATTTATTTTGCATTGCTGCCAGCATAAGTGTTCTGACCCTGTGCAGGCTCTCAGAGGAAGCTCAGACTTGTGATTGTGCAGCAGGACAACAAAACACTGCAGTCACGCTTCTTCTGCCTTTTCTCCTTTTTAAACGAGGCGCATGCGCAGAGGGCGGCGGCGGCGCTCCAGACGGACTTTGAGGAAACACTGAAGAGTTTTAGTTGCTCGTAAACTGCAGCGGGACGTTGGAGGATTTATTACAGCCTGTAAATGAACCTGAGGTGAGTCCACTCGTTCTCCTCGTGTTGTCAGTAAAAAGTTTCAGAACAAACTCTCAGCTGTTCGGTGTGTGTCAGTGTGAAGTCCTCTCCATGTTTCTCATCACTCTCTCCGCTTTATCCGTCCATCGACACGGAAGTGTAAATGTTCGGCTCTGCTTTTCACTGCAAACACTTCAGAACATGTAAAAAGAAGAATACTGCATTTAGTTTGACCTTTTCGGATTAAAACTGAGTCTAATTTAAATGAAATCACAGTTGCACAAAGTTACGCTAACTTAAAGTT